GGCACACAGACTCCAAATATACCACAGGACCCACGACCTCCTGCGGACCAGGCGAGGTAGTCAACATCTCACCACGGGGAGAGAGAGAGAGAGAGACACAGACTCCAAATATACCACATGACCCACGACCTCCTGTAGACCTGGCGAGGTAGTCAACATCTCACTATGGGGGGAGAGAGAGAGAGACAGACTCCAAATATACCACATGACCCACGACCTCCTGCGTACCAGGCGAGGTAGTCAACATCTCACCATGGAGAGAGAGAGAGAGACACACACAGACTCCAAATATACAGCAGGACCCACGACCTCCTGTATACCTGGCGAGGTAGTCAACATCTCACCATGGAGAGAGAGAGAGACACAGACTCCAAATATACAGCATGACCCACGACCTCCTGTAGACCTGGCGAGGTAGTCAACATCTCACCATGGGGGGAGAGAGAGAGACACACAGACTCCAAATATACAGCATGACCCACGACCTCCTGTAGACCTGGCGAGGTAGTCAACATCTCACCATGGGGGGAGAGAGAGAGACACACAGACTCCAAATATACCACGTGACCCACGACCTCCTGTAGACCTGGCGAGGTAGTCAACATCTCACCACAGAGAGACGCAGACTCCAAATATACAGGAGGACCCACGACCTCCTGTAGACCAGGCGAGGTAATCAACATCTCACCACGGGAAGAGAGAGAGAGACACAGACTCCAAATATACCACAGGACCCACGACCTCCTGTAGACCTGGCGAGGTAGTCAACATCTCACCATGGAGAGAGAGAGAGAGAGACACAGACTCCAAATATACAGCAGGACCCACGACCTCCTGTATACCTGGCGAGGTAGTCAACATCTCACTATGGGGGGAGAGAGAGAGAGAGACACACAGACTCCAAATATACAGCATGACCCACGACCTCCTGCGTACCAGGCGAGGTAGTCAACATCTCACCATGGAGAGAGAGAGAGAGACACAGACTCCAAATATACAGCAGGACCCACGACCTCCTGTAGACCTGGCGAGGTAGTCAACATCTCACTATGGGGGGAGAGAGAGAGAGAGGCACACAGACTCCAAATATACCACAGGACCCACGACCTCCTGTAGACCTGGCCAGGTAGTCAACATCTCACCACGGGGGGAGAGAGAGAGAGAGGGGCACACAGACTCCAAATATACCACAGGACCCACGACCTCCTGCATACCAGGCGAGGTAGTCAACATCTCACTATGGGGGGAGAGAGAGAGACACAGACTCCAAATATACCACAGGACCCACGACCTCCTGTAGACCTGGCGAGGTAGTCAACATCTCACTATGGGGGGAGAGAGAGAGAGACACACAGACTCCAAATATACCACATGACCTACGACCTCCTGTAGACCAGGCGAGGTAGTCAACATCTCACTATGGGGGGAGAGAGAGAGAGAGACACAGACTCCAAATATACAGCAGGACCCACGACCTCCTGTATGCCAGGTGAGGTAGTCAACATCTCACCACGGGGAGAGAGAGAGACACAGACTCCAAATATACAGCAGGACCCACGACCTCCTGTGTACCAGGCGAGGTAGTTAACATCTCACTATGAGGAGAGAGAGACACAGACTCCAAATATACCACAGGACCCACGACCTCCTGCGTACCAGGCGAGGTAGTCAACATCTCACCATGGAGAGAGAGAGACACAGACTCCAAATATACCACAGGACCCACGACCTCCTGTAGACCTGGCGAGGTAGTCAACATCTCACTATGGGGGGGAGAGAGAGAGAGAGAGACACACACAGACTCCAAATATACCACAGGACCCACGACCTCCTGTAGACCTGGCGAGGTAGTCAACATCTCACCATGGAGAGAGAGAGAGAGAGACACACAGACTCCAAATATACCACAGGACCCACGACCTCCTGTAGACCTGGCGAGGTAGGCAACATCTCACCATGGAGAGAGAGAGACACACAGACTCCAAATATACCACAGGACCCACGACCTCCTGTAGACCTGGCGAGGTAGTCAACATCTCACTATGGGGGGGAGAGAGAGAGAGAGAGACACACACAGACTCCAAATATACCACAGGACCCACGACCTCCTGTAGACCTGGCGAGGTAGTCAACATCTCACTATGGGGGGGAGAGAGAGAGAGAGAGACACACACAGACTCCAAATATACAGCAGGACCCACGACCTCCTGTAGACCTGGCGAGGTAGTCAACATCTCACCATGGAGAGAGAGAGACACACAGACTCCAAATATACCACAGGACCCACGACCTCCTGTAGACCTGGCGAGGTAGTCAACATCTCACCACAGAGAGACGCAGACTCCAAATATACAGGAGGACCCACGACCTCCTGTAGACCAGGCGAGGTAATCAACATCTCACCATGGGGGGAGAGAGAGAGACACACAGACTCCAAATATACCACGTGACCCACGACCTCCTGTAGACCAGGCGAGGTAGTCAACATCTCACCACGGGGGGAGAGAGAGAGAGAGACACACACAGACTCCAAATATACCACAACAACAACAACAACAACAGCAGCAGCAGGCATCGTCAGCATCACGGGATCGAACCCACGGCCCCCCCCTGCGTTCCCAGGCGAGGTAGTTAACGTCTCGCCTGTAGGCCAGGCGAGAGGTAGTGGACATCTTCCCGCCACCGTGGCGTCCCAGATACATTCGGGGTGGGAGCGGGGTACGTGGGATGGGTGGGCGGGCGGGCGGTGGTAGTTGTTGCTCACGGTAACGGCTCTGTCTCCCCCCTTAGGGTCCGCTCATAGCGACGGCTTTTACCAACGGATACCACTAAGAGGTACGGCCCTGCCACCTATCTCTGCCTACCGCTACTGGTAGGCGCCGTGCAGCCTACCCGCCGGGCCCCAAAGTAGACACTGATGCACACAGGCGGATACACGGATACGCCGATACACTGATACACACAGGCTGATACACACAGGCTAATACACACAGGCTGATGCACACATGCTGATACACTGATGCACACAGGCTGATACACACAGGCTAATACACTGATACACACAGGCTGATACACACAGGCTGATACGCTGATACACTGATACACTGATGCACACATGCTGATACACTGATACACACAGGCTGATACACACAGGCTGATACACTGATACACACAGGCTGATACACACAGGCTAATACACACAGGCTGATACACACATGCTGATACACTGATACACACAGGCTGATACACACAGGCTGATACACTGATACACACAGGCTGAACACTGATACACACAGGCTGATACACACAGGCTGATACGCTGATACACTGATACACACATGCTGATACACTGATACACACAGGCTGATACACACAGGCTGATACACTGATACACACAGGCTGAACACTGATACACACAGGCTGATACACACAGGCTGATACGCTGATACACTGATACACTGATGCACACATGCTGATACACTGATACACACAGGCTGACACACACAGGCTGATACACACAGGCTGATACACTGATACACACAGGCTGATACACACAGGCTGATACACTGATACACACATGCTGATACGCTGATACACTGATAAACACACAGGCTGATACACACAGGCTGACACACACAGGCTGATAAACTGATACACACAGGCTGATAAACTGATACACACAGGCTGACACACACAGGCTGATACACTGATACACACAGGCTGACACACACAGGCTGATACACTGATACACACAGGCTGATACACACAGGCTGATACACACAGGCTGATACACACAGGCTGATACACACAGGCTGATACACACAGGCTGATACACTGATACACAGGCTGATACGCACAGGCTGATACACTGATACACTGATACGCTGAAACGCTGATACACACAGGCTGATACACACAGGCTGATACACTGATACACACAGGCTGATACACACAGGCTGATACACAGGCTGATACACACAGACTGATACACTGATTCGCTGATACACACAGGCTGATTCACACAGGCTGATACACTGATACACTGATTCGCTGATTCACACAGGCTGATACACGGATAAGCTGATACGCACAGGTTGATACACGGATGCCCTGATACACACATGCTGATACGCTGATACACACAGGCTGATACACACAGGCTGATAGATTGATACGCGTTCAGGCTGACTCTAACATAGACTCTGACACAGTGTGTGTGTGTGTGTATCACACGCACACACACACACTGACGTACACACTGACGGACACACACACACACTGACTCGCACAGTGTCAGTGTATGTGTGTATCACACATACACTGACACACACACACAACTCTAACACTGTGTGTGTGCGTGTGTGCAGGTTGTTGGTGTGTGACAGGCACACACTGGTACACACACAGCTCTAACACTGTGCGTGCGCATGTATGTGTGTGCGTGTGTGTGTGCGTGTTGTGTGCGTGTGTGTGTGTGCGTGTTGTGTGCGTGCGTGCGTGCCTGTGTGTGCGTGTTGTGTGTGTGTGTGCGTGTTGTGTGTGTATGCGTGTGTGTGTGCGTGTGTGTGTGTGCGTGCGTGTTGTGTGCGTGTGCGTGCGTGTGTGTGTGTGTGTGCGTGCGTGTGTGTGTGTGTGTTGTGTGTGTGCATGTTGTGTGTGTGTGCATGTGTGTGTGTGTATGTGTTGTGTGTGTGTGTGTGTGCGTGCGTGTGTGTGTGTGCGTGTTGTGTGTGCGTGTGTGTGCGTGTGTGTGTACGTGTTGTGTGTGTGTGTGTGCGTGCGTGTTGTGAGTGTGTGTGCGTGTTGTGAGTGTGTGTGTATGCGTGCGTGTTGTGTGTGTGTGTGTGTGCGTGTTGTGTGTGTGTGTGTGCGTGTTGTGTGTGTGCGTGTTGTGTGTGTGTGTGTGCGTGCGTGTTGTGAGTGTGCGTGCCTGCGTGTGCATGCGTGTGAACCACACACACACACGTTGTTCACACTGCGTGTGTGTGTGCGTGTTGCAGGCTGTGTTGGTCTACGATGCGTGGACCCGGGTAGGCGATGAGGAGCCCCACCACCACCACCACCATCAGCACCACCAGCACCACCACCACCTCGCCGCCACCTCGCCCCACGACATCTTCATCAACGTATAGCGCTGACGCTGACGCAGCCGCAGCAGCAGCAGCAGCAGTCGAACGTCGTCACTGTCGCCGCGGTCGCAGCAGTCGAACGTCGCCGCCGTCTCCGCCACGGTCATCACCGTCGTAACCGGCATCACCATCACCCCGCCATGGTCATCGTCATCGTCACCATCACCATAGTCACGAGCATCACCATCATCACCGGCATCACCATCACCCCGCCATGGTCATCATCATTGTCACCATCACCATCATCACCGGCATCACCATCACCCCGCCATGGTCATCGTCATCGTCACCATCACCATAGTCACGAGCATCACCATCATCACCGGCATCACCATCATCACCACCATCACCGGCATCACCATCATCCCGCCATGGTCATCATCATAGTCATGAGCATCACCATCACCACCAGCATCACCATCACCGCCATGGTCATCGTCATCGTCACCATCATCATTGTCATGAGCATCACCAGAGTCATCATCACCATCACCGCCATGGTCATCATCATTGTCATGAGCATCACCATCATCACCAGCATCACCATCACCCTGCCATGGCCATCATCATCGTCACCATTATCACCATCATCACCGGCATCACCATCACCGCCATGGTCATCGTCACCATCATCGTCATGAGCATCACCATCATCACCAGCATCACCATCACCGCCATGGTCATCATCATCATTGTAATGAGCATCACCATCATCACCAGCATCACCATCACCCCGCCATGGTCATCGCCATCGTCACCATCATCATAAGTCATGAGCATCACCATCATCACCAGCATCACCATCACCGCCATGGTCATCATCATCGTCACCGTCATCACCATCATTGCCATGAGCATCACCAGAATCATCATCACCGCCATCGTCACCACAGTCACCGCCATCACCACATTCACCGCCACCGTCACCGCCATCGTCACCATCACCACCATCACCATCGTCACCACAGTCACCACCATCGTCACCACAGTCACCGCCATCACCACCATCGTCATCACAGTCACCGCCATCACCACCATCACCACCATCGTCACCACAGTCACCACCATCGTCACCACCACCATCACCACCATCGTCACCACAGTCACCACCATCGTCACCACCACCATCACCACCATCGTCATCACAGTCACCGCCATCACCGCCACCACCATCACCGCCATCACCACCATCACCGCCATCGTCATCACAGTCGTCACCGTCGTTATCAACATCACCAGCATCGTGGCTACCTTTCGTTTTTGTGTCACTAAAGGGGTCACAGTCACCCTCTGTCACAGTCACCCTGTGTTAGTCACCCTGTGTCAGTCACCCTGTGTTAGTCACCCTGTGTCAGTCACCCACAGTCACCCTGTGTCAGTCACCCTGTGTCAGTCACCCTGTGTCACAGTCACCCACAGTCACCCACAGTCACCCACAGTCACCCTGTGTCACAGTCACCCACAGTCACCCTGTGTCACAGTCACCCACAGTCACCCACAGTCACCCACAGTCACCCTGTGTCACAGTCACCCACAGTCACCCACAGTCACCCTGTGTCACAGTCACCCACAGTCACCCACAGTCACCCTGTGTCACAGTCACCCACAGTCACCCACAGTCACCCACAGTCACAGTCACCCACAGTCACCCACAGTCACCCTGTGTCACAGTCACCCACAGTCACCCACAGTCACCCATAGTCACAGTCACCCACAGTCACCCACAGTCACCCTATGTCACAGTCACCCACAGTCACCCACAGTCACCCTGTGTCACAGTCACCCACAGTCACCCTGTGTCACAGTCACCCACAGTCACCCTGTGTCACAGTCACCCACAGTCACCCACAGTCACCCACAGTCACAGTCACCCACAGTCACCCTGTGTCACAGTCACCCACAGTCACCCTGTGTCACAGTCACCCACAGTCACCCTGTGTCACAGTCACCCACAGTCACCCTGTGTCACAGTCACCCACAGTCACCCACAGTCACCCACAGTCACCCACAGTCACCCACAGTCACCCTGCTTACTGTGATGACTGTCGGCCCTTCCGTTTTATTTTTGATTGGTGGGCGGGGAAAGTGTGGGGGGGGGGTGGGGGTTGTGGGTTGTGGGTGGGGGGGGGGGTGGTGGTGGTGGGGGGGGTGGGTGGGTGGTACGGTGGGGGGGGGGGGGGGTGATGTGGGTGGGGGGGGGGCTCGGTGTGTGTGTTTGTCCGGTTCATAGTCGTTGTAGTCCTCGTAGTGATTAGTGTCGTTAGTGGTAGTTGGTGCTAGTCAGTAGTGGTAGTGCTGGTTAGTAGCGGTAGTTAGTAGCGGTAGTTAGTAGTGGTAAGTCGTCGTTTGTCACCGTGCGCCCTCTCTCCCCCCCTCCCCACCCTCCCTTGCTCTGTGGCCCTCTCCATCGCTCCGTTCCGTGCCCATCGGTCCTCCTCGAGGTGTTTTGTGTACCGTCAACGCTTGCGGGGGTTCGTGGCGGGAGAATCCGTGATGTGTGTGGGTGAGTGATTCGGTGGCTGGGTGGGTGGGTGGGTGAGTTAGTGGGTGGGTGGGTGAGTTAGTGGGTGGGTGGGTGAGTTAGTGGGTGAGTGAGTGATTGGGTGGCAGAGTGGGTGGATGAGTTAGGGGTGGGTGGGTGGGTGGGTGAGTGATTGGGTGGGTGGGTGATTGGGTGGCAGAGTGGGTGGATGAGTTAGGGGTGGGCGGGCGGGTGAGTGATTGGGTTGGTGGGTGAGTGAGTGAGTGGGTGGGTGAGTGATTGGGTGGCTGAGTGGCTGGATGAGGTAGGGGTGGGTGGGTGGGTGAGTGATTGGGTTGGTGGGTGAGTGAGTGATTGGGTGGCAGAGTGATTGGGTGGCTGAGTGGGTGGATGAGTTAGGGGTGGGTGGGTGGGTGAGTGATTGGGTTGGTGGGTGAGTGAGTGGGTGAGTGAGTGATTGGGTGGCTGAGTGGGTGGATGAGTTCGGGGTGAGTGATTGGGTGGCTGAGTGGGTTGGTGGGTGAATAAGTGGGTGGGTGAGTTAGTGGTCCTGGCCACCCGCCCAACAGCTTCGTGTGCGTGCATGCCTGCGTGGTTGTGGTGGTAGTGGTGGTGGTTGTGGTGGGTAGTGGTGGTGGTTGTGGCTGTGGTGGTGGTGGTGGCTGTGGTGGTGGCGGTGGCGGTGGCTGTGTCGGCAGCGTCTAAGCCGTAGGCAATAACCCCGCAATGGGAACCCACTTGTTTTGGGGGGGGCGTGGAGTGGGGAGAGAGATGCGAGGACGAGGACGAGGAGGAGGAGGAGGGGGGGGGCAGAGAGAGCCCCCCTCTGTGTCTGTGTCTGTCTGTCTGTGTACCGTGTCTCTCTCAAGCTCAGAGACTTTTTAACGGGCGGGATGCGGTGGGGGCGGTGTGGACGAGGAACGTCAGACTGACGTTACCCCACACACACACACACACACCCCCCCCCCCGTCCCCCCAAAGGTATAATAATAATAATAACGATAATGCTGATGATTATAATAATAATGTTATTGATAACGATGATTTTTAGGCGTGCGTAGTCGCGAGTAGGTTATCGATTGACGATGACGACGATTTCACGAGATGATTTTTTTTTTTTTGCGGGACGGTATGTGTGTACCCATCACCAGCAATTGTAGCGATTTTAACTCAACCCACGCACAACAACAACACCACCGCCACCACTGGTGGAGCCGGGGGGGTGGGTGGGGTGGGTGGGTGGGGGGCTGGCACGTGCCCCCCCCCCGCCCCCCCCAAAGATCCGATCGAAATCCCTCATTTCGATGGGATCATTGGGGGTTTATCAGTAATAGAATCGGCATTTTGCGGAAAAACCTCCCCTCCCCTTCCACCCGTTTCCACTGCGTGGCATGTTATTACTGACGTGCCAGGGAACCCTGTGAGATGGGACACGGACGACAGCCTTAGTCCACAGTTGGCAATAAGTATCGGGCCGTAAGCGGTGACGAGCGACTGCAAGGGGGGGGGGGGGGGGGAAATCCGTGTTATTCGGTTCCTGCCCTGCCGGCCGGCCTGGCCGGGCCGGGTGGGGCCGGCCAGGCGGGGCCGGCCGGGCCGGGCTGGCCGGGCCGGGCCGGGCGTCGTCCCCCCCGCACCCGGTCGAGGGCGTCCGCCCACGTCGCAACCGGAACGTCGTGATTTAACTTGCTCGATTTTGTTTTATTTTTTTGTTTGGTTTTGTTTTTGGTTTGTTTGGGGGGGGTCACCTTCCGTGACTTTGCCCAAGGGGCCCGAAGGACACGAGCGATGGGTTTGCAGGCGGGCGGGCTGGGCGGGATGTTTGCGCGCGGTTTGCTTGCACGGGGGGACGCGACCCCGCTTGAAGGCGAGGTCGCCTTCAAGCGGGGTCGCGATGCCGATCGCTTGCGCGGTTCGAATCCGGCCCTCGCTCGCTCGGTCGATGGCCGCCGCCGCCGCTGCCTCGAGCGGACAGGAAGGGAAACGGGGTCCCCCCCTCACTTGCTGACAACTCGATCTCGATTTGAAGCTTTCTTGACTCGCAGGAATCCCCACATGACTCTTTGGTTCTTCCGGTTAAAATCTACGCAGGTAGAAAGTAAAACGGTGGGTCGCGACGTCGCGAGCGCGTCTAGCCGGCTGGCTTGCCGGCTGGCCGTCTAGCCGGCTGGCTGGCTGGCTAGACGGCTAGCCGGCTGGCTGGCTGGCCGTCTAGCCGGCTAGCCGGCTGGCTGGCTAACTAGCCGTCTGGCTGGCTGGCTAGCCGTCTAGCCAGCTAGCTGGCTAGCTGGATGGCTAATTAGCCGTCTGGCTGGCTGGCTAGCTAGCCGTCTAGCCGGCTGGCTGGCTAGCCGTCTAGCCGGCTGGCTGGCTAGATGGCTGTCTAGCCGGCTGGCTGGCTAACCGGCTGGCTTGCTGGCTGGCTGACTAGCCGTCTAGCCGGCTGGCTGTCTGGCTATCTAGCCGGCTGGCTAGCCGTCTAGCCGGCTGGCTGGCTTGACGTCACTAGCTAGTCGGCTGGCTAGTCAGCTGGCTGGCTGGCTTAACCGGCTGGCTAACTAGCCAGCTGGCTGGCTAGCAGGCTGGTTTGCTGGCTGGCTGAATAGCCGTCTAGCCGGCTGGCTGGCTTGGTAGCCGGCTGGCTGGCTAACTAGCCTCTAGCCTCCAGCCGGCTGGCTTGGTAGCCGGCTGGCTGGCTAACTAGCCGTCTAGACGGCTGCCTGGTGGCTAGCCGGCTGGCTGGCTGGCT